AATATATATTGCACTTCCGCGAACTTATCAGTCTAGTCTAATAACTAATATACTAATACTAATAGTAATTGCCAACAATGTAAAGTTGTATAAATAATAAAATAGTAAATAGTTAACTTTTAAGTCTTAAACTAGGCCCCTACATTTACATAAAATACATTATATTTCTTGTAAATAGTTTAATCATAAACTTATATTAGGTGTGTATAGGGTAGTACACATAACATTACAATGACTAATTTTTCGTACAATATCGAAACCAGGTAAAATTGTTTTTACGAAGTGGCTGCGTACACAGCGTCAGTGTACCTAGGCGACCTAGCAGAGCAAAGCCATGGACCTGGGCCTGCGTATACCGACACTTTGGCAAAAAAAGTACCATTGGTCTGCTTTTAAGATATACCAGGCCAGTTAGATATGTTTTTGTGTGGTCTTGTGGTAAAGTAGTGGAATAGACGCTAGCCGCTAGGGGGTATTATATTTTGTGATCAATTCCCAGTTGGCAGATGGGGATCCAGTTTTTTTCTCTCCATTTTTTATGTTTTATATATAAATTAGGTTCATTTATAAAAGTAGTTTCATGAGAATGTTAAAAATATTTTGCAGCAATTTAAATATTCTATATTTATGTTATATTCATTATTCAGATTATTAAGTGTTATAGTTAAAACTTAAACAAGTTGTGCCGGCCTTTGAATTTGAAAATAATGTTAGAAAACAGTCAGAAAGTGCATGCTGCTTAAATCACTGCGGTGTACGCGGGCCACAACCAATGATTTTGCTAGGTACACTGCCACAGTGTACACATAGTGCTGACCTTGTTTTTAATAAGTGGGTGCCAACTCAGCTGCAGTCCATTGATTTATATTATAAATATAGCTTTGATGGTGCTTGACAGTGTGAAACACCAATATGCTTTCAGCTGTTTTCGAATCTGGTGATATGTAAAATTTGTGTCACATCATTTATATGGATGGTTCCTAAGTAAGAAATTTCAATACTATGCATACAATACAATTGAAAAAGCTAATTTATTTTTCAACATTGAAAAACATAATTCCCTAAATTGATACTTTACTGGCATATTTAATTAACTAATTAATTTAGTAATAACTACATGATTGTCGTGTTGACTAAAATATATGCAGTCTGCACAAAACTCTCAGACTGCACACTTTTTTTTAACTTTACGGTTTATAGGTCTAATGGCTGCTAGTCTGTTATTTAGTTTTCAGTATTTAAGACTATAAAATATAATTCCTCATACTTATAGACTCATATTACTAAGCTATATAAAATGTTGAATGAGGATAGACTTTTTTATATTTATACTAGCTGAGGCAACACAACTGCATGTGAAATAGGGGAAGTTCTTTTGTGTGCATTTGTTCATTACTTCCACCAATGGGGGAAGCAGCAAATGAGAGTGCAGCACTGTGGTGGAGCAGAAAAGATGCACTAGGGAAATTATAGATACAATTTAAGATTAAGAAACAGACGAGTCAAAGTGGCTAGACTATCATATGCTTTATGTTATATCTTATATCATCGACATCAGAGGTGTAACCAGGCCCATGGCAAGAACCAATCAATTTGAGTTCAAACTTGAGAAACCTATTTGAATATAATTAACATTTAGAGCAAAAGATTAAATAGAGTTACACATCATCATAGATTACAGTATTAGACAAGTTAAACTAACTTTTAGACCTAAGCAAAATTAATTTTTTTTTAAAGTTTAAAAATTCTTTTCCCAATGTACAGATTCCCCCCATCAAAATGAATGCCCATGTTTCTTGCCACACCCTTGGTGCGCCTCAGGTCATCCTCATGTCATGATTTGTACCCTACAATCATAATTGATCTTATCATGTAATTATTCATGAATTAATATTGAATTGTCTTCCTTGTAATGTATCCTATAAACAAGTATTGGCCATTGTGTAAACAAATAGTAATTTCATAACATATTTCAATCATGATTTCAGTCATTATGTGCTGTCTGTATTGATGAAGCTTATGCAATGCGTTGATCAATTTGACCATGGAAAATATAGGGCCTTTTACCTTGATGATATCACTAAGTGATTCAGAATTAGAAAATGGGGTAAGTGACTTAAAACATATTAAAATAAAAAAATAATAAAAAAAAAAAAATGTACCAAGCATTTTAAAGTTAATAATTTTTAGCACTGTTTCTTAACAAAACCTTGTCTTTGAAAGAAATAAATTACATATACTTTTAAAATATATTTTTTAGCTACCATCCTCTGATTCATCAGATGAAGAGCAGTCCAGAAAGTCTTGTCCCACAGAAATCTATGCTGCCAAGTTTTGTAACAGGCTCAGAGAGGAGACTAAACCATTGTTAAACTTAAGCCAGGGTATTCAGTCTCCTACAAAACAACTGAAAGATATAGGCAGTGATAAGGCTAGGGAATCTAAAGCTAAAAAAAGATTAGCCAGAGGTACTAAAAAAATATTATAATTTTTGTAAATACAAAGAAATGTAACATCCTTTTCACTATAAATATCCATGATGTCCTACTATCCAAATGTCATTACACTCCACAAAACATTTGCAAGTCTAAAGATTGTCTATGTATAAAATCCATTGGCTTTATCATAAAATAACACAAAAATCAGTCCTATACATCATAATTATGTATTTTTAGTTGTAATTTGAATCTCATTTGTGCTCTTTTTAAATTAGTGCATTTGAAGCATTTTGCTTTTCATGACAGTCAAGTAAAAATTTGATATATTCAAACAGGTAGACAGGAAGCACCTAATGGTGTGATAGAGCGAAGATATGGCTACATTCCGAATCCAAGATGGCCCAAGCCTGCTACAGCATATTCTAGACCCTATGAGCCTCAAGGCATTAACCAAGAAGATTCATTACGCATACCAGGTGCCATCTTTAGGTCAAAGGTCCAGCCTAAGTCAAATAGTAGTCTTCTAATGGACCATTCCTATCAAGAAATTGATTTTCCTGAATTAAATTTATCAAATGTCAACAGGTAAGAAAATTCTTATTCTATTTCTATAATGAAAAATATTAAATTCATTTTAGGGGTAAGAAGCACATAGTATCTGAATATAATATGACAGTTGCATGGTTCCTAACATTAGAAATGAATGAACATCAAAGAATGAAAACTGCTAACATGTTGGCTTGGCTTTTGAGCATTATCAGACGCAATCAACTGAAAGTTAACAAATAACAAATGTCAGCATTTTCAGCTGTAAAAATCCAATGGTGTTAGCACAGCTTCTTTGTGATCGTGTTGTATTTGTACATCATTTTGTAACTCAGTGCATTAGTAGTGAGGAAGGGTCGGTGGATACAAATATTGTAAAACCCAGAATTAACATTAAACATCCATACAAACAAATCCTTTAATGCCACCTGATTGCATGGATCCCGATTGTCAGGGGGTTTTCCACTGTACCTGTCTTTACTAACTATAACTTTGCTATCTATTTGTGAACATTGTGCTGCCTTTTTATGTTTATGCTCAAAATTGCAGAATATTTCATGTAAATGGACATTGAGCACTAGTATATCTGGATCTGACATAAATGTTTTAGTTTCTTAGTTGAAATGTGTTAAGTACCAGCGATATATATATATATTTTTTTATTTTTTTTTCAAAAATCTTTTGAACCTGCATATTTTTAATTTTAAAAAAAATGGCAGATAATTTTGGTAACGAAAGTTTAAAATTCATTTTCAGATTATCATTAAAACTTGATGAACATACCTCCAATAATTCTTCAGGAAGAGACGATGCCAGTGACATCTCTTCAAATGCAGATTCCCGTCACAGTTTTCATAAAGCTGATGATAAGCAAAGGATTTCTTCTAGTCTTTATGGTGGTATTTCACCTATAACGTCAACACCAGTTAAAAGGGGAGAGTCTACTGTCTACAGCAAGTCCCTTGTTATGATCAGTGAGTCAGGTTTGGGTCCTTGTTCTAACAAAAAGGAGAAGTTGTTTGAAAGAACAAGCAGTTCATGTGATTCTAAGGATCAGTCTAACTGGTCATACCAAGAAAATATTAAGCCTTTCGGAGGAAAGAGTAAGCCTTTATCCCCGAGTCCTCTTGCAAGCCTCACATGCTCCAGCTCAGACTCAAGTCATGAAATGAATGTTCAGAATTCACATGTGGGTACTTCTCTATGTGAGAAGATATTTCCAAATTCTTTCTTACAATCTGACCTTAATCAGAATTGTAGCACAATGTCATCCACCTGTGCTTCCTGGTCTAGAATAGTTCAAGACCTTTCACCTCTACAAACAACTGAGAGAATTGCTCCTCATGGTCTAACACCCCCATCGGCTCTCTGTGGTAGTCAGAATAATAACAAAGCCGGAGCTTGGGGCAATAAACTTGACCCTAAAGCACTGAAAGGTGAGTCAAAAGTTCATAATTCTACGGCTCCGGAAGTTAAACAAAAGTCAAATTTAAATAATTTGGAAATAAAAGTACATTCCAATTCCAACAGTGTGTGTCATTCTTCTTGGTCTGATGTTGCAAGAGTATCACCTTCTGGACAACATTCCCGGTCACAATATACCAGTACCCCCCATTTTACTAGGGCTAGTTACTCTGATAAGTCAGAAAGTTTTATTCACAACACTCCTCCTGCTGATGCAGAAAAAAAGAGCGAACTGGGTATTGACAGGTCACAAAACATGGAATCAAAACGTAGAAACAAGAAGTCTAAAGATGGCTCAAACAAATCTGTTGGTGATGGCTTGCTTAAAAAACAGCAAGTCTCCAATTGCAGAGCCAATCCTAAACATGGTGACAACGGGACCTATACACTACCATTTGAGAGTTTTATTACTCCTAAAAAGGTAACAGGAAAGAAGAATGTTAGTGTCAATGGTCGGAAAGATCTCGGCTTGTTGGAAAGTCGTTTTGTTGAACAAATGGAGGCCAAGGCAACATCTCCACCCAAGAAGGTGAAACCTTCTCCCATAAAGAGGTTAAACTTCTCTAAAAGCGAAGAGGAAAAAAACCTGAGAACGCCTGTGAGAGACTCTGCTCTTGCATTTCCACTAGAGACCAATTTTTCTGGCATATCAGTTGATCAGCCAAACACATCTCCCAATGATTCTCAACCTTCGACTTTGAACTCTGTGAAGTTATCTGGCAAGCTGACTCCTGTTCTTTCTTTGGAAAAGCTCATCAATGATAAAGGAAGTCATCATCAGAAAGATGAATTTGAGGATGAAAATGAAGATGAGGATGAATATCCTGGAAATAATGCTGTAAATACTTCAGTGGAGCAGTTCTGGAAGGAAAAGTCTGTTACAAAGAAATTACATTCAGTCTGGTAAAGTCATTTTCTATTATTTGCTTTGAATGACATTTTTAATATGTTTTTTTTAAACAACTATATCTCATATCTCCTTAGTAGCAATAATTTTAAATAGTGAAATTATTTAAATTATGAAAACAATTTCCTAGTAACAGTTTTATGAAATTTTTCTAATAAATTGAGTAGACGCTCGCTGGTCTGGACTAAATATGATGAATAAATATTAATTACAAATCCTAAATAATTTTAAAAACCTTTTTCATTCTTACTTCGAGAAAGCATATCCAATGGCCAATAAATGGGTAAACAAGGCAGATAACTAATCAGAAATTTTTATTACCAATTAATGGGGTGAAACCCTAGTCTGTATAATGAATCAATCAGTTTTTAAATATGTCAATGTAAATTTTAAGTAATGTGTAACAGCTTTGATTTTGAACATAAAATTTTCACGTCATTGTTTTTTTTTAGAGCCTGCAGGTCTCTGATCTTATTCCTTCTGTTCTTTTAAATGTACATTGTTTATTCAGGAAAACTGAAGATCTGTCAATATCCTGACAGTGTTCACTTTAGTTAAAACTACTTATATTTTTAATTCATTCTGATTCAATTTATTTGACCTGTTGCCTGACATTACATTATAATTGAAATTATTGATAAACGTAATGATAAACTTTTTAATAAAAAAACATTTTTCACTGTTTTCAAGTGTCGAGGGCGCAGCAGTGAATGTCTCCGCTGTGATATCAAGTGAGGAAGATGACGAAGATTTTACATGTCTCACAGCACATTCTGAGAACAAGAAATTTTATGAAGAAGGAATTAATGAAGTCATTGAGAATCGTGCAGAGATTGCTGACCCATCCAAAGTAACTTGTAAAATCTCTTTGAAGAAGTATGCAAGGCGTTATTGCCATTTCATTGAAGGTACTTACTATTCAATTAATTGTTGTTATAGCTTCTTTGCCAGGCTAAAAATGTAATAATTACTTCTTTGAATTTCATACTCGGCTTGGATTTATAAAAATTAGTCAAGCGAGACAAAAATTACAGAAAATTACTTTTATATAATCTGCCTGTTGGCTTTATTTGTTATGGTATAACTATTTCTTTCTGCTTAGCACAGATGAACCAAAAACTTAAAAGGCTGAATTTCAGCACTAATGAACACTTTAATGATATTTTAATGGCAGAGACTGCTACTAGATCAGGCTGATGATCGACGACATTTTAAAATTAAGTCATATAAAGCTTACAAATCTGTCACTTGATTTTTTAACACAGCATTTGGTAACTTAGCTAATGACCTCTTGCTTCATAATTTTCTATGAATCGGAAACCCCTTGCAGATCTGAACTGTTCATGTTTATTTCTGGTTACAGAGCACCAAGTTCCCAATGTCATCAGTGAAATGTATTTCTTAATTCAACTTTTGACATGCTCAGAAATAGACAGAGCACTGCTTCAGTTTGTTGGTCAGTCATTTTTTCTTCTTCCTTTGTTAAATGACATCAGCTAGTTCTAACAATGAAAAGGAATTTTTGTAATGTAACAGACCTGTTTACTCTTAGAATTTTGGTGTACAATGTACGATTTTGAGGTATATGGATTATATATTCTGTATGTTTATTTTTTTACTATTACGATAATATATTGAACGATTTTAGGGATGATATTGTACGATTTTAAGAGTTTGAGGGTGAACAGGTCTGATGTAAACATACATAATGTTTAAGCCAGATGTTTACTATTATTTTTATTACACAATATTTCTATTATTTGATTATTACAACCCCATCCACTATAATTTGTATGGGGTGGTTGAGAAGGGAGTTACCACTCAAGGAAATAAGGCATTCTTTAATTTCTGCAGACGATCACTGTGGTGGGACTTACTTCCGGTCGGTTCATAATGGGGTTTACTTTGCTGTTACAGTCATCAAACGACTGAAAAGGTGCGTCATACATTTTTGCTATTATATTTTTCAAAGTGAAAACTTTAAGACTGCACCATTTTTATCTCACAGAGAATGAATTTCAGCATTGGACTGTACTTTCTATAATGTTTAAATAACCTTTGTTATGAGAAGATTAAATTCCATCAATATTTATGCTAATCCTATTATTTGAAGCCCAACTGTAACAAAAAGTTGTTATCTGCTCTGTTTTCCACATTTTCCCTTCCAGCCTCTTCTTGGCTTTGGATAGAACATTTCTTGAGCTTTTAGCCACTTCCCAGAGAATTGAGTTGTTTTCCCCCAAGCTCCACAAGTTTTTTCTGAAGGCTGTAGAGAGCAGAAATAAGGTAATATTCTTTGTTCATTTGAAACAATCATATTGTTAAAATTATTTTGACATGCACCATTGTTAAAGAAGAAGTGAGACATATTTTTTTTCTAGGTTTTGAAAACAGTCATAGGTTGTTTGTTTGAAAGCAATGATCAGCTTGTTTAAAAAATGTATGGGTATCGTTTTCAAGTGAAAATGTATAAAATCAAGAATTTAACATTATTTAATAAACCCCTCTATCCCATTTTTAATGATAGTAGCTTCACAAGGGAAATGTTCCCTTACATCAATTTAATAGTGATTATTAGTAGCTTCACAAGAGGCAATGTTCCCTTATATCAATATTATGGTGACCTGATGTCAGTGTTTTGGATAAAATCAACTAGCTATATAAGGGCCTGATGTCAGTGTTACTAAAATTAAACTATTTCAAAGAAGGGTTCTTAATTTCTTAACTATGATTACTTTTTCTTTGAAGGACCCTGTTCTGTCATCCAACATGGAGTATAACACTTTTAACCCAGAAAATGATGGAGCCCAAAGTTTTCCTGATGCCAATCATTTTCATGTGTTCAAGTGTCAGAGGTTTGTTAAGTAGCTTTGACCTGGGGAAACATCCTAGTCAATATGCTCTGCCAGTTGAAAGATGCAATTTTTAAATGTTTATTTGTGATCATAACAAGAATTTTGAATGAAAAAAATAGCTGTAATGTATTTAAAAAGATGAAAGCATGGAGCAACATAGCCAAGGAATAAATGGATAACAACCCAGTTGGTTCATTTCTTTAATTAAAGCTGCTTCAGTCACATTTCTTAGGGCATAGACTTGTCTAATTTGATGTGATTAAATTTTGAGCTTCATTGAACATGGACAAAGAAAAATAAATTGGGAAGCAATTCAAGTTAATATTAGAAGTACATTTTGAAGATGAGCATTAAATAAGTTATTGCATGGTTAAAATTTGTTGAAGCGATGAAGTTGTTTTATTTGACGTCTTGATTTGTTACTTTCCAGGGACAATTTCTTTGCCTTCTATCGACACTACCACGACACCAACAATATTTATGAGTTCAAAATAGAAAATCAGATCCAGTATGTGTACGATGGGTGTACGCCTGAGCAGAATTCAATGGTCAATCTTGTACACTTGGCTCAATTGTTTTTGGATCACATGATTCTGGTATTCTTATTTTCATCATCTACCACAAATTTGAAATACTCATGTAATCTTGAAACTTATTTCAAATATCATTCAGGCTTTGTTATTCTTAAAAAATATTTTTGTATTATATACCTGTCTCAGTTGTGAAATGATAAAAATTTCTTGTTCTAATAACTTCCTTGACCTTTTTCTCAGTGCTGTGTTCATCAAAGTGGTGAAAAGGTTGATCTTTTCAAGCTGATTCAAAGCAAGGACCAAGATGAAAAGTTATTTAAAACGTAAGAATTTCAAACTTTTAGAATTCTCTTTACATTATAGTTTTTGTTAATTAGAGGGAGTGGAGATTGGCAAAATTATGGGAGATTGCGATCTGCCGATTTGTGTGCAATAACACAGCAACAACTTTCCCCCCAAAAATAACATTCAGTCTTAACCGGTTTTTACCAATGGCTAATTTTGACACACATCAGTTTCAACACCGGATTGCAGGTTTTTGTTCAACATTCTTAGTATGAAGTGTGCTGACAGGGTGGACAATGTTACATAGGAGACATATCATGTAAAAACATGGAGTAACAATTTTTACATATTTGACATATGTAAAGACATGTAGCAGCAATGTTAGTTAGTAGACATGTCATGTGCAAGTGTAACACAATGGTGTCAATATACTACAAAATAAAAATTTACAGTCTGTTAACACTATCTCTCTTTGCTATCACAACTCATGCCATCTCTAGATCTCTACACATCTAGCAACTACAACTAAAAGCTACAAAGACAACACAGGAGGGGCCTGGCAAACAGACTTAACAAAAGATCCACAAATTTGCTCTCCCTCTCTAATCTAATAGTTCTCCTATTTAGTGAACATCTCCCTTCTGCCATTACTCACTACTGTATTTATCTCCAACACGTGTTCGTCTCGACAACTATCAACCAATCAGGATCAAACTCAGCTTGTATCCGAGTTCACTATTATTTATAGTTTCACTGAGCTATTATGCATGATACAATGAAGCTGTTGTAAATTCTGTGGTTCTCATGCCTTGACAGACAACAAAGGCATGTTGTTGTTCCTCCTTTGCATGAAAAAATGACCAAGGCTATATTACAATGTATGTACGCAGGTGGCCTGCCAGTCCTATTTGTGCCTGGCACGTAGGAATGGCACTCAATGGCAGGTTGCTTGTAGGATTTTAGTCAATTCTACCTTTCCTTGCATTGCGCTTTCTTTAGGTCTGAGCGGTGCATTTATTCTCTGAGAATTTTGCCCATCTGGCTTGTCCTTTTTGTAGGAGCATGTGTATGCTGATAAAATCAGCCCATTGTAGGACTCTGTCTAGCCATCTTATGCCAAAAAGTTTACTTTGGTAGCGGTGGTTTAGTTGTCTAGCATTTCTGCTATACACCGTCCACATCTCGGCAAAACTCAGCTTTTTAAAAGTGGACTGTATAATCTTGTTACACCTTTTAATATTTTGTCCATAAATGTTAAGTTTAGACTCTCTGATGAAATATATTTTGCATCATTTCAGCTTGTATGAGACGTTCTGTCAGATGCACTGTGTAAAGAGTGTCATGACTCCACCAGGTTTCTCAGAAAATCAAATGTTTTTTAAAGACTTTCTGGAGACTCTCAGCAGCCCGTCTTTTAATGAGCACTTGCGGAATCTTGTGGTACAAAAAATTTTGCAGGTTAGATATTAGTGCTTTTTTGATAAATCTTGAAGTGCAATATTAAATCAGGCATCCCTTTGATGCAATGGGGTTATCATTATTAGCCACACAACCAAGAGTGGGCAGGTTAAGATGTGTTCAAGATTTTCCTGGGTGGCATGGACTTATTAACCAGACCTGTTTACCCTAAAACTCTTAAAATCGTACAATGTCATCACAAAATCGTGCAATACGTTATCTTAATAGTAATAAAAACATGCAGTGTATATAATGTATAAACCTCAAAATCGTACATTGTACGCCAAAATCGTAAGAGTAAACAGGTCTGATTAACTATTCTTAGGGATGAGTTAAAAACTATTCTTAGGGATGAGTTAAAATCCTCAGTCACCAAATTTTAAAAGATGGCAGCCAACTCTGTGTGGCATTAAATAATTGTCCTTTCTATCTGCTCACATCACATTATAAACATTAGTGCTAAAACCAAAATTAATATTTATATACAGCTTCAAATTAATCCCTAAAAATGACTTTAAAAATTATTTTGTTTAAATGGACAATAAATAATATTTTTTTTGCAGCTGAACTCAACTAATTTGAATAATGTTAGAAATCTGCACTCTGTGATAACTGTGGAAGAAAATCAGGTATGTACAGAATTCCCATGCAATCGGGAAAACTGGAAATAGTTGGAAATTCATTAAATAATTTTCCAGATCATGAAAACAGGGAAAATGGGCATTCTAGTAAGGATATTGTCCATCTAGTCTGGAATTTTTTAATTTGAAAAAACAAAATGTAAACAATTAATTTGGATTCCATTTCCATGAGAGTCGACGATAATCAAAAAGATTTCGCCCCATGCTAGCGGTTTGCTCTTAACTGCGCGTGCGCTTAAAAGTTTCGGATTTAAATTTCGTACTTGACATCTTTGCTAATGGACCAGATTTTTTTTTTTCTTGTCTGTTCGCTGATCGACAGATTTTTGGGTAAGTTAAATGTAAAATACATTAAATAATTATTGAATGTAATTTTTCTAGTTTTTAAAAGTCAGCTAACCACTACGAATAGAAAACTACGCCCAACTGCTTTTAAAATGAATAGGCCATCTAAGCTTAGTGTACTTACTAATTTAAGTTGATTTTTAAAAAAAAATTAGTATCTGTATAATAGTCTATAATATGTATGCCTTACTTTAAACTTAATATATTAATTCTATTTTGTTTCACTATTCAGGGTCTAGGGTAAACAACATAATGCCCAACAGTTGCTTTAAAAAATGATTGTTAAGACAGCAATCATGTTTGATCAAGTCATCACTGCCACATTATACTGGAAATATTGATATCAAGTATATCTGCAGAACAGTTCTCAGGTGTTGTGTCGAGAGGCAAATGTTTAATAAATGTCAATCATCTGATCGAGACTTCACCTTGTTCAATTTCAGCTTTTTCACCTACCTTAGGTATCCACCTCTGCAACTTCTTAGTCAAGCTGCCAAGTTATGTGTCGAAATAACTCAACCCTGATTGATGGCATCACCTACCTTAGGTATCCACCTCTGGAACTTCTTAGTCAAGCTCCCAAGTTATGTGTCGAAATAACTAAAACCTGATTGAAGAGATTTTATAGACACCAAAGTGTGTTCACTGAAATGATCCATTTTCATTGCAAGAAGACAAACATTGACTCCATATATGAAAAGAAACTTTCCACTTGTGTTCGCCATACTTTTGTTCTAAAATGCTCTGAAACACGAATTGCAAAAGTTTCCCTTGCAATTTAAAAGTAAACAACTTTTCAAGTCTAAGTAAATTGCAATTGCTAGGACAGTTCTCAGGTATCTGTCGAGAGGAAAATGTTTAATAATATAATATTATATTAAATATATAATGTTTAAAATGTTTAATAATATTTACATTAATCCACTTTTATGGCCTTATTTTGTTCATCTTTGTTGCATTGCAATGTTGTTTTTACTTTTAAAACTTCATGTTTGTTTTTATGTCAGGAATTTTTGTTTTTATAAGGGGGAAAAGTTGAGAAAAATATGAAATTTTATTCTTTTAAAAAAAAGGAGTTGAAAGTTGTTAGTATTGTCTAATAGTAATATACATTTTCTTTTTGTTTACAGACTCCCCTGCGTTCCCACAAATTGACAGAAGTTGTCATGACGTTGTGTGTGTTGGGCAAATTGTTGGGATATTTGACCTTTTCATCATATAATACAGGATCACTTAACATTCCCCAAGAACTGGCTGAATTGACTTTGAAACTGAGAGAGGCAGTAAGTGAACTGTGTATTTAAATTAAGATTGAGATTATTTTATTGATCCAAGGAAATGGTAAGTTCCTTGATTACACTGCCAATATTCAATTTCATCCGATAAATGGACCTGCCAACCCTTCCGATTTTGTCGGAGTTATACGGATTTTTTACCCCTCATTTCGACCTTCCGACAAACTCCTTAAAATTCCAATTTTTCGAACTTTATAATTTTCCCCCTGTTTAAAAAAATCCGAACGCAACCAAAAAGAAATAATTTTAAAAATATCGGGTACAACGGGAATTGTTGCATTTGTTTTTACAAAGTGTCTACATGTTCGGCGACCGCACGAATAAGTGCATAAGTTCTCGAGATCTTCGCCCTGCCACTATATATTTGACCAAATCACATGATATTTGTCCGTCAGCTTTGTCATGTGACCCCTAATTGTCGATCAGAGTTTACGGTACTTCATTTCAACAAAGTCTGGACATTTATATGAAAAATAAATCAATTCTACAAAAGAAATACTAGAACCATATATAATAAACGATTGTTTAAAAGTGACAATGTTTTTTATAAAGCGTGACATGCCCGCCGGATGAATATCTCCCACGCTATTTGTCCGGTCGCTTGACGTGTTTTTATCGAAGGGAACCGCGATTTCCAAATCATTCTTCAATCATCAATTGATCCAATCGTTTTTAAAAGGCTAAAAAATAATTCAGACTTTTTTTTTGGTAAAAGCTTTTCTTAATTAAATCGTTAAATCTTTTAAAAGTGGTGGGTAAAATGGTATTAATAAACATATTTTACTATTTTTACCCCCTTACACACACACACACCCCCCCCGTCAGTTGTCCAACGAGGTGTTGGACAAGTGCAATAAGGCCACTAGGGATATGCTGGAAAATTGAACTCTTAGTCTTAGCAGCCTTTGTACATATGTAAATAAAATGGATCTTCTGTCCTGTACTGTAAATAAACATTTACAGAAATGTTTTTCGACATCTTAAATATATCTCAAGCGTAAAGATCAGCCAATATATACAAACAAAGCTTTACTCCCTTATTGACAATAATGTTTTAATTAATGATCATTTAGATTTTGTAGACCCTTTGAATAGCATGCTGGATAATTCTGATAGATTGGGAGACAAAAAAATTTTAATATCTTTCAATCCCAAATTTAAGGGAATGTGTGTGTGTGGGATGGGGGGTGGGGGGTACAGTTATTGATTTGCTTATGACTGCATTTATGATAAGATTCTTTTATTGATCCAAACAAATGGAAATGTTTTTTTATTGTATTGTACATTTTCAACACACAAATAAAACAATTAGAACACAAGACATTTATATTAAATTATTTCACTAGTAATATCTATACAAATAAGAAGCTTTGAAGAAGATAAATAAATGCTTGGAAATAAACAGAAATAAAGAACGTTTAGATCTTTTTAAAAATAATTTATTATTATATTTAAGGTAATGGCACTCAACAAGTACTTGAAAAATAAATTATCTTCACTTTGTTTCAGTAATTGGTTCATAAATATGATAATAGATCTCTTGAAAATACTTTTAAATTGACAATGCGACTGTTACTTTTTAGTGACTAATATTTGCTACAATTTAGGTTCCACTTCTCCTGCCGCTGCCAAGACTTCTGAGAGACGCCTTCACCAATGGGCATCTGTGCCTGACCGTCCCTTGGATTGTGGAATATCTTGCCATGATGGACTCGATGGCACCTCAGCTTGTTGTCTATCAGTCTCTCCTGAGAAAACTTCACTTTATTCAAAGGTAACAAAACTGTCTTTTCATTTCGGTTTTCCCCAAATTATTTCATTGGATTATTTTCCTTTAAACCATTGTTGAACTGCTGTTTGAGCCATGCATGTTAATTAACTCCCTTGGTGTTGAGCATTTAATATAAAAAAAATCAAATATATTAACATATAATTTGTAATCTAATTTCTGAATTTGTGTCAAAAACATGTAATCTGTCTCTCAGAAAATGAATTTTTATGTGCATGTATTATGATGTATGTTTAGTGTTTTTTCAAACATTGTATAAATAGAACATTTAGCTTTATAATTAAGGTACACAGAAGACTCTTGACTAATATTGAGAAATAACATGCAGCTTATTCATCAAAGAGAAATGGGTAAACTCAAGGTTGAAAAAAAAAGGTTGTCTAGATAAAACTCACAAGTTGACATCATGCTTAAGTCAAAGAAATCAAATGTGTTTTGCAGTATATAAAGAAAAAATCAGTTGAAATGGATCGGTCATTCATTATTTCAAATTTAAACATCTCAGTTCGCAATGGAAGCCGCTCAGTTGCTGTGAATGGAATCTTGTATTTTTCAGATATGCTTGGACAAAGCTCTACAAAGAAGGTCATCACAACACAGGCCTGTTGATAGTCTCCTGTATAAGTGCATTGTTTGAGGTCAGTTATGTAGTCCAGCAGTGTCGTGTTCGGCAAGACTTATGTTGCAAAGAGGTGTACTGACAAAATACCATAACTTTATTCAAAAATCACCTGATCTTTAGTATTTAGTAGAAGAATGGTTTACAAGCATTTACTAACAGTGACATCTTCAACAAAGTCAATGACTAAGCAGTTTTGTTTTTATTCAAGTCTTACAGTTTCTTGGCATAGTTTTTCTTGGCATCTTGTTGACATAATGATGAATAAATTATCTTTTTGACATAATGATGAATCTATTATCTTGTTGAAATAATGCTAATATTGGTTTTCTTGTACAGGTTCCATCTGTTCCTAGTGGTTTTTTCTTCTCCTGTGATAGTTCCAAAGAAGATTTGAACAGTGTCCCAAGGTGTGATATGACCTTTAAAATAGTGAGTGCCTTGTTATTTCTCATATTTCTAATGAACAGGTTAAATCAATGTAATTTAATAGGCAGGTACCATGAACCTTCAATGGCAGGCAGATACCATGAACCTTCAATGGCAGGCAGGTACCATGAACCTTGTTCGCTGAATGAAATTGTGTCTTTGTTGCATTAGGACTTATTGAAATTGTTTTTATGTACATAACAAATGATAAATTGCTTGCATGTGCAGATTACATCATATTGAATAAAGGAACTGAACCTCAGTGAGCAATTCTCATCAAATGTTATAGTTTAAGTACTGTAGTACTTTGCCGTAATTCTTTTGTATTATGAGGGACAATACACGACACCCTAGTTTTTTTAATTTAATTTATTTTCACTTTGAAATAAAATCAATTTAGAATATTCTGTTACGTAAATTTTGATTTCATCAATTTTTAATGCAAGCATTTCCACCATTGCTTACACTGGCAAATTCTTTTATGGGCGGGTTAGACACATTTCAGGTCTTTTCCCATTCACACCTTGAATGGTGGGTTATAAACCAATGGACTTTAGAAGAAGTAGGTACGGTAGTCAAAGAGAATATTGTACTTGCTGGGTGTCTATTCAACTTGGCTATTCAACCCTAGTTGAGGATGTCGTCAGAATGGATTTGAATGGGCTACCTCCTAGTTAATGTGACAGATCTGCTATTATAAGGCTATTACTACATTAATTTTTTGTTTAGTAACAAATTAACTTGATTTTCCTTTCTAGGATTATCAGAAAGTGGTCTCTCATAGACTTCTGACTTCATGCTGTCCATATATAGGTAACTGTATATTGTTTTTCTTACATTAAATATTTCAATTTCATTTATAAAATAAAGCGTGCTTTTTATTTTTTTACTGTTGTCAACTAAGTGTGTTATATGTTGTAGACTTATTGAATAATTTAAACCATGTTCAGTAGCACTGACATGATGGGGAAAAAAACTTTGTTGTCTTGGTTGTAGCCAATTTGAATTTTTTTTAGAAACGGAAAAGTGATGTACATCAGTTTTTCTGTTAGCCATATGTTGCAAGTTGGCACAAAATAGAAGTTAAATAGTCATAAGAAAATAACTGGAAAGGGTTGCCATTAAATGATAATAGTTAAAAGATTCCTCTGATTGGAAATAATTAAGTCCTAAAACTGATACACAATTAAGTAAAACTGATTTACATTATGGTAAAACTGATGTGCTGTACAGTAAAAATGAATTTGATGCCATAAATACAATGACATAAATTGATTGGTCATATTGATTCTACAATAATCATTGGGTTCATTTCAGAACGAGGGCAAGTGTTGCTTACAATGTTCTTGATCAATCACAAACCTGTGCTCAAACACAGGCCAGTTCTACCACTGACAACTAAGGAAGATGCCAATGTACAACACAAGTCCACAACAGATTGGATTGAAATTGAAGATTGGTTAAACTCCTCTCTGGCTCTTGACTCTGTGCATTTGTAAGTTCAAATGAGTTTGTAATTGCCTGACTCTGTGCCACATGTAAATTCAAGTCAGTTTGTAATTGCTTGACTCTGTGTCACATGTAAATTCAAGTCAGTTTGTAAAAAAAATGGCCAGACTCTTAAAAAAAAGTCGGGTGAGAGCAGTGCTTCATTAAGAATCCAGAATGTAAGGATTGCATGCGTAAATGGTTGTAGATTGAACATTATTATTTCTTGATGTTATTTCAGTTCTGAAGGAATTAAACAAACAACTAATGTCATTGATGATGAAGTTGTTCCGGCCTATGTTCTGACAAGACTTGTGGCCCACAAAGACAGGGACGATCTGGTATTTTAAATACTTTTTCTTAACTTCACATTTGTTTGTGGCTGGCTGGCAAAATCTTCAGATCTGTCAAAACTTAAGCCCAACCCCCAAAAATCTATTTTTCCTGTTTTTGAAAGGGAAGAAGAATAAAGCATGATGCCACTGATTTTACAAAATAAAATTCCCAAATAACGGCGCTAAACGAGATTCTTAAAAAAAATTGCAAATGCGTTTGGTGGGTAAGATTTTAGTTTGTTTTTTTCTGAAATAGTTGGTGAAATAAATCTGCAGTGTAAACTTAGGTGAGACATTAGAATATTAATGTAGATCAGGGTGGTGTAAAAATGTATGGTTGTGAGCCGAAATTTGGGGGGTTGGCGGGCACACTGAGTGGGATTCTTATATAGTGTGTGTCACTTGTATTCATGTTTTGTCACATTTTCAGCTTCCCCCCCCCCCCCCCCCCCCAATTGGTCGATATCACATTTGATAAAGGATTTATAAGAAAAACTTTGCTGTTAGGGGTTGTTTAATTGATTAGCACTTTATCAAGCATATCAGTTCATTAAGTTCTCTTCTGAATATTCCCTGAAGTCCAATAGTACATTGTTAGAGCTGATGAGTTTATTATATTAAATTTTTACACTCCATAAAGTTGGCAGCTGTGTCAAATAATTAGTGCCAAGTTAGTGCTATGTGTCAAGTCAAAGAATTATTTATTTGCAGTGCCAAGCTAGTGCTATGTGTCAAAGAATTATTTATTTGCAGTGCCAAGCTAGTGTTATGTGTCAAAGAATTATTTATTTGCAGTGCCAAGTCAATGTTATGTTTGAAAGAATTATTTATTTGCAGTGCCAAGTCAATGTTATGTGTCAAAGAATTATTTATTTGCAGTGCCAAGCTAGTGTTATGTGTCAAAGAATTATTTATTTGCAGTGCCAAGTCAATGTTATGTGTCAAAGAATTATTTATTTGCAGTGCCAAGACAGTGTTATGTTTGAAAGAATTATTTATTTGCAGTGCCAAGACAGTGTTAGTATTTTGTAAACTTGATTGACTTTGAACTTGTTATTTTATAACACAAAAAATGTATTTTAGGATGACTTGGAAAACAATTTAATCCAGAGCAATCCCTACCTGCAATCAGCTGTTGATATGTCAGTAGACGTTCTCACTGCGAAAATTGTCGACTACACCCACCATACAATTTTGAGACTCCTTGTACTTGAAGTGAAAGTTGAGATCAGAGCCCAATTTCTGGGAATAGGACAAGGTCATTGTGCAGACAGTCTTAAGGTGGGTTATAGAGACAGTTTAAAGTGGGTTAGAGTCACAAGTTATAGAGACAGTCTTAATGTGGGTTATAGAGACAGTTTAAAGTGGGTTAGAGTCACAAGTTATAGAGTCCGTCTCAATTTGGACGACTATGATGTTATTGTTATTGACAACAAAGTTTTTTTAAACATTAAAGGAATGAACCCCTGCCCACTAATTATACACATGAAATGAATGCTACTGTCCACTAATTATACACATCAAATGAATGCTACTGTCAACTAATTATACACATGAAATGAATGCTACTGTCCACTAATCATACAAATTAAATTAATGCCACTGACCATTAGTTATACACATAAAATTAATGCTACTGTCCACTATTAATACACATGAAATTAATGCTACTGTCCACTAATTATAAACATTAAACTAATGCTACTGTCCATTAATTATACTATTATACTCATGAAATTAATTCTACTGTCCACTAATTATACACATTAAATTAATGCTACTGTCCACTATTAATACACATGAAATGAATGCTACTGTCCACTATTAATACACATTAAATTAATGCTACTGTCCACTATTAATACACATTAAATGAATGCTACTGTCCACTATTAATACACATTAAATTAATGCTACTGTCCACTATTAATACACATTAAATTAATGCTACTGTCCACTATTAATACACATTAAATTAATGCTACTGTCCACTATTAATACACATTAAATTAATGCTACTGTCCACTATTAATACACATGAAATGAATGCTACTGTCCACTATTAATACTCATGAAATGAATGCTACTGTCCACTATTAATACACATGAAATGGATGCTACTGTCCACTATTAATACACATTAAATTAATGCTACTGTCCACTATTAATACACATGAAATGAATGCTACTGTCCACTATTAATACACATGAAATGAATGCTACTGTCCACTATTAATACACATGAAATTAATGCTACTGTCCACCATTAATAGACATGAAATTAATGCTACTGTCCACTATTAATACACATGAAATGAATGCTACAGTTTTGTTTTTCAACCTTTAATCCTAACAACATCCATTCAGGACAAGATTTTTTCTGAAGCTAATTTGATTGCTCAGCGGTACACTGATAAAGCCAAGACAAGTTTTTATGAAGTTGTTGACAAGTGAGTAGGAAAAGTTATTTAAAAAACTCATGAATTGATACCGCTGGGGAAATGGATTGGTTTAAAATTGTCTTTAACTTGAGATCATTTGCAGAAATAAAGGAATTTCTTGTTTTTCTTAGATGCTGCAATAAAGAACTACCAGAACTGATCCATTTTCTGACATCGGGAAAAGAAGAAGATATCCACCAAAGTATAATTCATCTTTGTAAGAAACTCATCATCCGACACATGGAAGAATGGAGGAAGGTCCAGCTCTATCCTGGTCAGTATTAAAATTGGTCTAAGCACTTTCTTTTGATCACTTACACAAGTCACAGTCAACATTTTGCAGAGTTCACAACTGAAGCTTAGGGGCCATCCATATAGTACAGTGGAACCCGGTTATGTCGACGGCCTCAGGATTTGCCAAAAAGCGCCGAGATAACCGATGATCGAGATAACCGAAAACCAATATGGTGGCAATATATTAACATGTGCTTGAAATTTCTTTATGTTCATGATGTGCCTTAATAAATGCAGGTACTTCAGTATAAAAAAAATGATAAATAATTTTTTAAATATTAACATTATTTAGAGAAAATTTCTAATTTTAAAAATGAAACCAGAATCTACTTTTTAACGTTGGGACTTTTTGAGTTTCGAATTTTTAAAGTGCGAGTTCGTTTGGTATTTTATACTATGGACGAAGCCTCCGCATTTTGTGACATCATTCTGCTGATCCTGTCTTGCGCGAAGACTATATAGTTTATATAAGGCTAAGCATCCCCTTATTACTAAAATACCATTTAGGGACTACTTATTTTGAAATTTCAACTTTGGAACAGGACTATTTAATTAAAGCTTTCCCTGATCAATGGTTTAATAGCTTTTGCACAGGGCAAACACTTATGAATGAAAATCTGACGTAGTGCCACAGCATAGCTATTATGCAAGTGAGAGTGAATGGCTGCCCATGAAAACGTTTTGTTTTGCACACAGCAAATTATGATCATTTATAATATGGACTATACTGGGTTTTTAAACCTTGAATTAAAACATTATGAAAAAATTGTTTTTTTTGTTGTTTGCTATTTCTTCTTTCGGAGTTCAAAAGCCGGCCATGGGTCATTTTTTCATTGGCAAATTTGGGCCGCTTTTGTGCTCGAGATATCAAGGCTCAGCGACATAAAAGAAACAACATAACTGAGGAGAAAATGCTAAGACAAAGAGAGAATTTGTCAATCTCACTTCAAAAATGTTGACATGACAGCATTGAAATAAGCGGGTTCGACTGCATATACTAAATTGATGGCCTATTGCAATTCCATTATTTGATATTCATTGTTGCATTTCTTTAACCAATTCTAATGTTAATCAAATGAACCTTTATTCAAAACTACAGATTTCTGAAGAAAAAGCAATTCTTGGGCAAAGGTTCAGCTTATACATACACTTGTCAGCTCAGAAACTGCACTCCATGTCTCACAATATCATTTAATTAAACATACATTTGTCAGCACAGAAACTGCACTCCATGTGTAATAATATCATTGACTTACACATACCTTTGTCAACACAGAAACTCTATGTCTTAAAATATTGACTTAAACATACACTGCCAGACAGAAACTCTAGACCATGCCTTATAATATCATTGAATTACACATACCCTTGTCAGCATGAAACTCCATGTCTTATAATATCTTTGATTGGCCAGACTGATACAGTGAGGGTTAATGTTAAGCCATTTATCACTCCATACATATTTGAGCTACAAAGCAAAAACTGTTGAGAATGTAACAAAATTAAAAACTTTTCCCCACTATAATTCCTCACTCTTTCCAGTGACATTTTGATAACTAGAAAATTAAAAAATGAGAATAACTGAAAGTACTAGTAGTAATAGTAGTGTACTGAGTACCAGTAGTAATAGTAGTGTACTGAGTAACAGTAGTATTAGTAATGTACTGAGTACTAGTAGTAATAGTAGTGTACTGAGTACAATTAGTAATAGTAGTGTACTGAGTACCAGTAGTAATAGTAGTGTACTGAGTACCAGTGGTAATAGTAGTGTATTGTGTTCAGCATTTGTTTAAATTGGATTGTAAAAAATGCATTTTTCAATGGAATATGAGCTGTTTTTGTTGAAGTTGTATTTTGGTAAGAATTTTAAAGCAAAAAAACTCAACATATTTGCTACTGAAACTGTGGACTTAATGTTTCTCTTGTAATTTCAGAATTTTTCCATAGGATTGTGGTCCGTGAAGCTGAGAAGTGCAGCCGTGGCAGTGCAAAGCACTTGAGTCTCTATCCTAGTGATTACTCCAGAAAACTGGAGGAGCTACCATCTGTCCATTTGGCTGCGGGTTTCACAGAGATGGATCAACTTTCAGAGCTGATAGACAAAGCCTTGGTAAACTATGCTCTTCTCTACTTGAAAGCAACCAAGTCTATATATATTCAAATGTACATATTTACCATTAGACAAGCCTTGGTGAGGTTTACACTTTGCAATTTTAGTACAACTTTTTAATGAATCCATCAAGTCCATTGACCATGCTATAAAAATATTCTATTTTGTGAGGTTTAAATTTTCATGTGAATGTGAATTATTTCAGTCTCATGGAGTATGGTACATCAATGCTCTGACCCCAGGCAATCGTCCAGATGATTCCCATATGGTGCAGCTCATTCAAGACTTTACCAAATGTGTGGAGAAAAGAATGGTAAGGAACTTAGATAATGGAATTTAAATGGTTTTGATTTGAGTACACATTAAAAATGTCTAAGAGTTTCATATTATTTTATTTAAATAAAGATTTAAAAAAAATGATCAATCCACAGTATAAGTTAAATAATGCTAAGTTTGTCATAACATGCTCTCTTGGCTTACAAGAATTGTAAAATCAAACAAGATGGGGTGGGGCTGAAAATTTGATAAAACATGAATACAAGTAATGTACTTAGAATCACGACAATAACCACCCCCCCGCCGCATATTTTTTCCATGACCCTGAACTATATTAATATTCTAATGACCCACCGGGTTTTACACCACAGATTTTATTTCAACAACTATTTCAGAACAACAAAAGAAGATATTACACACCAAGTACACTTCAGATTTTTTTGTTTCTAAGAATCTCATTTGGTGAAGTTATTGTGAATTTTATTTCTTGAAATCAGTGTCATCACATTTCCTTCATCTTCCGCTTAAAAAACATGGGAAAAACTGATATTTTTGGGAGTGGCGGTTGGGCCTGAAATTTCGATAGAATATGTTGTCATCGGCAATGAGTCAATGTGCCAAATTTCAGCTCAATAGGTTGAGAGAAAGTGGGTCAATTAGCCATCTGCAGATTTTGCCAAAGAAAAAAAGTGAAGTTAATATAAAGGATTTTAAAATCCTTAAACATTTAATAATCCTATCCTAGGATCACACCATCTCTGAGTTTACAAGCAAGCATAGGAGCAGTTTAAGAATAAATTTCTTTTTAGGCCAATAAAAAATAATCCATTTAAAATGGAATCAGTTTGGCAAAACAAAAACACTATTGCGTCCATAATTCTTTTGAGTAATTACATGTTTGATCAATCAATTATACATTTTTTTTCAAAATAGTGCACCAGTACCAATGTGGAATAGTAACTATTTTGAATATCAAGATGATTGATTCAGATTAATTTTTAGACACATTCTCTGTAAGGGTATCTTATGAAAGGTAATATGCTTGGAGACTTGGTTTAACTAAGAAAGACTTTGAAACATTTTTATTCCTTTGATCATTTTTTTGCTACCACAATGATGTTCAGGTATTCAGTCCTGTTTCAGGTTTGGTATTCAGTTTTGTAAACAGAAGGGATAAACATTTGACAAAACGCTTCTTTGTCTAGGGAAAAAACTTGTATAGCGCTTGTCTCCGTGCTGTTTTAGTATGTTCAAAATGCTACGATGTCATAAAGTAAAGAAAAATGTCTTTAGATATCTCTTAAATGATTTTTTTATCATTTTTTATTTCCCTCAAAGATTGAGGCAAACTGTTCCATAATTTCGGCACTATAGCTTCAAAAGAGCGCACTCCTTATGACTAATTCTGTGTCCATCCATACTGGGAACTCAGTAGGGACTGTGATGAAGAGCGCAGGTTCTTTAAGGATGCGTGTTTAGAAATCAGATCCTTTTAGATAGTCAGCTGCAGAGCCTCCCAAACACCACGGACAAAATTTTTGATAAAATGTGAATTGTTTGTTTCTCCACCAGATTACTATGGATTTTGCCTTTTATGTGATGTCCAACTTCTTGATGCATCTCATTATACAGTACAGTGAGTTTTTAAAATATTTAAACCACTATTATGTCAGTGCAGATCCGAACATACAGTTGAAATTAAAGTTTTAGAAATATTCAGTAAATTTGCATATTAAAACTTCAGAAACGGGTGGGTGGGATATCATTTCCCACCAAAACCGACACAGAAAGCCAAAACAACTCTCCTTAACAAGATCTAATATTAGCAGCGTACACTCCCTGACATGTTTACATCCATTCCAGATGGATAGATCTCTACTTTTAAATTTCTTTCAAATAATTGAGGGTTTTTTTTTTCTCCCAGATTAATAGTCCAGTAATTTATTTAAAAATGGATTCAGATGATGAAGTTCAAAGTTGATAGCGATACAGAAGTCATTATAGATCATTGCTCTGTTAATTATGCTAGCTGTAATATTAGCATAACACAGATTCCTGTATTTTAATTAACCAAGTCAAGTGATTTTCATCTGACTTTACAAATTTACTGAGTTGACCATCTTATAACATTGTTGACCGTCTTATAACATTGTTGACCGTCTTATAACATTGTTGACCGTCTTATAACATTGTTGACACCATATTGTCATGTGACTAGAAGTTGTTGTTTTTTTTACTTAATGTGCTATGTTGATTATAACATGCTCAAAGTAGGGGCTGGCATTATAAGGGCATTTAAGATATTCTCATTACCGGTGAACAATAAATTATAGGCCTACTAAGACCTATGCAACCACTCGACGATCAAGCGTGTATATTATCTGCGCATAACACCAGTAATGTTAGTATCACGCCTTTGAAGGGGTAGTAAATCCTTATGTTTCCAGATATTTTTTAATATAATAATCGTTTCAAGGATTTTGACATTTTTATTTAAAAATAAATATTTATTTAGTTAATTTGTTTTATATAATTATTAGATCAACATATCGCTTTTTACATTGACATGGAATTATACATGGAATTAGGAATACTTTAAACACGGTAATATACAGCTCAAATAATAACAATGAATTGTTTCCCATAATGTATTGTTTTCATAATTTTGTATTAAGAGGAAGTTAGATATATCAATATATGTCATGCGAAGAAGTAAAAGAAGAAAGGAAGTGTGTGAAATAGGATTGTAGAGTAGGCTCTTGCCGTGTGTAATCTACATCTTACGGCATCGAGATAGTTATCCCACAAGTCTGAGTGAATTAATACATATATGAAGTAGTTAGAAGATGATGATTATGTTTTCTCCAGTCAGGGGGTTCATGTTATATTTTTGACACATATTTCTGTGAATAAACGGTATAGTGATGTAAACATATGGCAGTTGCCTCATGCTTTCAATAGTGACCATTAGAGAGCACAAATCACCACCACCACCACCATAGATCTACATGTACAGAAACAAAATGATAAGTTACTAAGAAGAGCAACATCAATACAACAATATACATTGTTACAATTTTCATCATGAATAATGTACAAATAGTACTTGGTTTCGTACCCAAATTTGATAAATAGTAGTCCTATACCTAGACTTTAAAAAAAATTTATAATGGGCAAGAAATGTGTTATATTTTTCAATATTTTTTAATGTACCGGTACTTTGCGGGGGTGCATTGATGATGTCAAGTCATGGATGACACTCGGCAAGTTGAAGCTTAATGATGACAAAACAGAAGCACTCCTCATTCACAATCACACATCATCCTCTACCTCAACTCTTCCCACCTCATTTCAAGTAGGTAACTCCGACATACAGTTTACACCCTCTGCTAGGAATCTTGTTTAAATTCTTTCTAACAACATGTCTCTCGATAAACATATCTCTCACATTTGTCGTTACACCGCTATCTGTCAGATCAGCTCGATCCGCCACTACCTCACAGTTAGCGCTAAAAAAACTCTAGTCTGTGCTCTTGTTCTCTCTCGTCTTGACTATTGCAACTCTCTTCTGTCAGATTCACCAAAACACTGCATAGAAAAACTGCAGAAAGTTCAAAACTCAACTGCTAGACTAGTTCTAAAGGCAAAAAAACGTGATAACGTCACTCCACTTCTCCACTCCCTTCATTGGATACCTATACAGGCACGCATTGACTACAAGTTGTCTGTTCTCTGTCACAACTTTTTCTTGGATTCCTGCCCTTCCTATCTAACCGAACTTCTTTCTGTCTATTCACCCCTTCGACAACTTCGCTCCTTCGCAGACACGTGTATTCTGTCCGTTCCCAAGACACACACTAAAACATATGGTGAACGATCTTTCTCTTTCTGCGCCCCCAAGCAATGGAATTCTTTGCCACTACACATCCGCAATATACCAACCACCCAGGCCTTCAAAACTGCACTAAAAACATATCTTTTTAAATTATACTACCCTGACTTATTCCCCTCCCCTGACCGATAAATGATCTTGCTGGCTGCTGTCCATGGTCTGCCTTGTAAAAGTTCTGGGGTGGGGTGGGTGAATATACATTTTTTTGCTGTTCTTTATTTCACAAATTTATTTTATTTTAATGTCATGATTATGTCTCTTTTGATAATATTTTTATGTACAGCGCGGTGAGCCCAGCCCTAGGTTGGGGTACCGCGCTATATAAGACCACTAATTATTATTATTACTATAATAATTTTATTTTGAATTCTTTAGTTTTTTTGACAATATGTCAAGTCTGGGGATTTCAATATTCAATGTCTCGTCTTTGATAGTTGTGGATGTCAATATTCGATGTCTTGTCTTTGATAGTTGTGGATGCCAATATTTGATGTCTAGTCTTTGATAGTCGTAGTTGTCAGTTTTTTATTTTATGTTTTATCTATATGAATATTTGACATCTTATCTGTGACAGTTGTGGATGCCCCTCAAAACTGGACAGATGAAGCTGCCCAAGCATTTATCAGACTTTGTAAGCTGTGTAAAGACAAGAAACACGAAAATGATAGACTGGCGATTAAACTGTCAGAATTTGTTAGAAAAAAGAAAAGGATGAAAATAAAAGTACTCAATCTCATGTCAGTGCACTCAGTACAGTGGCTGACAAAAAGTGAAACACAGGTTAGTTACGCCATTAATGTATTCTTATGGCCATTTTCTTTCTTTCCCAATTTATTATTGATTATTTTGCTACTCATTCATTTACTCCAAACACGAGAAATTATTCAGAGTACTCTTACATTGGCAAATAAATATTCTTAAATAATAACCTCAAAGTATAAACCAGCAATACCAAAGTGATTGTGAAAGTTTGCCTGCTGGGAATTTTAACATTTTAAAAACTATTTTCAATGACAGAATGAAACGCTGATGGCTTTCTGCAAACTGATCAGTCTCTTGGTTGAAAGCGATCTTCTCCATGTAGAAACGGTTTACAGGAAATTGGTCCACTCAAGAGAAAACAAGAACCTGGATATGTCAGCCAAGATGATGGTCAACAAAATTCTAGTCAAGGTGCTTGAACTTCTTTGGGAAAATTCAATCTCACCCGAGCCACAAAGTTACAGTCTTCCAAGGTTGTTAGCATTGGTTGAGGATATGGCTTCAACACTAATGACTGCTGTCAAAACTGATCAGCACAATGTTTTGGTCGATCTTGCAAAGTTATTGAAGAGCACTTTTGGGAGTGTGCTCAATTTAGACAATTTTAATCAGTAACTTTACTTAAACTTGAACTTTATTTTCTGTTTTTTGCCTAATTAAAATATACAAAATTGGTCCCCAGTCCAAAGTGTTTTCTATTTCATACCATTTAACCCACAGACTGTCTTGAAGCTGCCTTTAAGGCTGCCTCTGTAGTTTTGCAGCCGATGTAGTTAAAATAAATATTATAAATGAGAATCAGAATAGTGATTTTGTTAAAGGGGGACAACTCTAACAAATTAGATTTACTTACTGCTGGCCTTGCAAAACTAAAGTCTAATTTATTTGAACTATTTCTTTATGAAAGTGAATTTGAAGGTTTTGTTGTCATTACTCATGGTTGCGATAATTTAAGATAAAGAAGCTAGCACTAATGTAGGAGTTCAAGTTCTAATCATGGAAAATGATGTACTAATGAATGTAATGTGCATTATAGAAAGAAATATTTAGGTCACCAATTATTTATTTATTTTTTTTAAAACATATATTAACCCAAATAACTTTATTTTCTAAACTGAAGGAATACTGCTTTATGTGTTTAAAAAACATATTTAGATGCTAAAAATACCTAACATTCAGTGTGGGTGTGAGTTGAAGACAGATAAAAAGTACGGTAGCACTATTGTACTCAGTGTTGAAAAGTCAAGGTCATATTTATTTCATATAGCTCAAAGAATTCATACATTTATACCAAATGATTCCTTGTCCAAATACAATTTATTCTGACCATATCTATACTTATGAGTCTCTGGATTTATTTAATATTAGTTTTGGGTATAGACATATCAAAGTTATTACTTTTTAAAAAGTGGAGGCAACAGCATGTTTGAATTTGACAGTTTGTGGGTTAAAAATAAGTGTAGACAATGCTGTCAACTCTATTGATTTTAAAGGATCTGGATTTGTAAAAACGTATACGATTAGAACAATGGTTTCTAGTTAATATATGAAATAATGAGAGATGATTTCAGAATAAAAAAAGCAGTTGAATCCAATAGAAAAATGTTTCTGTTAGTTTCAATGGCATTATTAATTTTTAAGGTTACTAGTGCTACACACTTTTCATCTCCAGCATTGAAACTTTTTAACAATCCAACTGCACAATTCTACAAAAGGAATTGTTGAGAATTGTTGGATTTGAATGTGGCAAAATTTGATTTTTTTATATTTTAGTGTAGTTCTACAAACTCATGATTTTCTTATTCTGTCATGTAGGAGGAATAATTAAAAAGTGAAAACAACATAGTGGAATAAAATTATAATTCTATGTCATAAGGATTGATTATCCTTTATAATATTTTTATATCAAGTGTTCTTTGTGATTAGCTTTTATGTTTATACAAACAACTGTTCCATGTGATTTTTAAATAATTAATAGCAAAATTGTTGGCCTGCATTAAATGAAGTCAACTATTGTTTGATTATTGTAGCTACTGTGTCCTGAAATCTCTAACCTTTCTAGTCAAATTAAAATTTTTTAGTGGATGTTTCTTAAAGGAAGTAATGTCAATCATTTATTGCATTATGTTTCTGTTGTCAAATTTTTAACAATTAGCATGTTTTAAATTGTACATTGTGTGTAAATGCTGATTAAAGTTTTATGCATATTTGATCTATGTCATAAGATATTTAATTGCTTAAATGAAATAGATTTGTATATCTTAAATAAGGAATGTGTGCTGGTATATAAAATGCAATAAATCTTATAGAAATTAAGAAATGTGTGATGATGAATGAATCAGTGACAGTACACATACAAAAAAGGACCTAACAATTGAAAAGGTTATTTATATTTTTTTTATTGAAAAAAAAAATAACTGTTACGATAGTTAATTTTTTTTTCTTTAAATTCTTCCAGGCTCATTTTAGCAATCACAAGATATAATGGTTTATGCAAGTGTGTCCTTGGAAACTTCCTCTCAAGGGTTTATATTTATAATTGTTCTAGCTATTATGCCCATATATATAAAACAGATTCACACACACAAAATAGCTTTTGTTTCCCAATATACAGCATTAAACATGTTTTAGAAATGAATTTTTTCCTGTTTATTTGCCGACATCTGCTTAATTTTGTATTATCACTCACTAAGAATGTATGAGAACTTAATTGGATCACATTGTATTATATAGAACCAAGTATATTAACTTTACTTATAACAGTTCTAATAACAATTTTACATTGGGTATCTGTATACTGGTACCATAACACTAGTGATCTTACCTAAACATTTACCATGAAGTGAAGCTTATATGGCAATGAAATTTTAATGCACATGGCTTTCTGATTTCTACCAAAGATTTGATTCATTTATTTGATACTAAGTCCAAGTATTTATAATTACCATCAGGAATTGAAGAGCTCTGCATTCCATAAATAGCTAATACTTGGTTTATTACAGCATCATTGTAAATTAAAATAAACAGGATATATATCAGAAACATATCTTTTTGCACATCAAGAATGAAACTGACTCTTAAACTTAAAGCTACTTTTGCCATTTCAGGAACAAGGAATGCTATATTTGGTTTATTATATTCAGTTTATAGTAGTTTAGTTAATTAAAAGATGTATTATTTGAAGCACAAAATAAAATAACAAAAATGTTGGTAACCTGATAGACCTCTTTGGTCTACCACTGCTTTTGGGAACATCACAATAATACAAAAGCAGAGTGGATTATTTTCCAAGCCTTAAATCTAGTTTTAGTCTGATAGCACAAAAAATATCCATGAATTGCAATACCCCATAGATAGAATAGCAATAGAATAAATATATTATAAAAATATATAGTTAATATGGTCCAAAAAAAATTATATTGTGCTCAAAAACAAATTAATTAAATTTAAATAAGATTATTTGAAACTTAAGTTGAAATTTCAGTGAGCACTTTAAAAGAAAGTGCCGAGTTCAAGAAAGCTGCAACATCAACCTGGATTTTTTTCATGATCTTCTCATTTAATGTTCTACGTCTCTTAATGAGTAGCTGATCTAAACTATCACTGTCATCTTCTGTGTCACTCTTCATCTCTTTCATCATCGGCAAGTTCATTTATATTATTTAAACCTGCTTTGGTTGCTTTGGCTCTACAGCTTGGAAACAAGGGGGAGCGAAAGAAATCCACCAAGAAATTGAGACGTTTTACCTTTGCCTCCGTGACAATATTCTTAATTGCACTTGTGATCCTCCAATCAACGAGATTTAACCTGGGGTCGTAAACTGGATCGATTGTGCTGGCAGCTATCCCATGATTGAAAATAATAGATTAAATAAATATGTCCAAACATGAGTCCACGTCCTCATACTCCTGCATGGTCCTTTGATGAAAGTCTTGAATTAGGATGTTCTTGTTCTTGCCTCCATCCCTTCTGCTGGATAGTCCTGCTCTTCCCTGATTGACATGGCACTGAGGAAGATTGAAAAAAAAAATGAAGTACTGGTATATACAATATTTTATTTTAATTTTTTTTTATAAACAGAAAGGCTGCCATGGTGGAATTTTACTTAGGGTACACTTATGGACCAGCAGAAGAAATAACTCAGATGTTTATATAGGATCAATGATTAACAAGCAGTAGATATTTACATTATGGGGTACACATAAGGACTAGCAGAAGACGGACGAACAATAAATATAGCAGAAGAAATAACACCTGACATTACACTATGGTCATGAGAACCATCATCAAGAGAGCTTAAAGACTGGAAGTGTTAACATACCACTACGGTCATGAGAGCTTTGCTCAGTAACAAGTTTTGTCAAAACAATTTTATCCTTTACTGAGGTTTCAGAGTCTGGTTTTAACAATGAAGTAATGTAATGATTATTTGCGACGTTACCAGTTAAAATACTTGACAGCGAACGACTTTCTTCAACCCCCTTTTTACGTTCTTGCAAGTGGTTTGGTGTCAGCCTAGGCTCTGATGAAGGTACATTGATAATAGTGCAATCAGAAAGCTTATCCATTTTGAATTCAAATGACAATTTAGGAACTGGAGAATAGCCTGAGGTGTTCCCTACAGTTACATTTTCTTTGTCTAAACTTTCCACTAATTTTTTTAGCACTACTTTCAGAATCAGATGAGATGTCCTCTAAGAAAGCCATCTGACGTTTTAGAAAGTCATCCTTTTCTTCCTCTTTTTCTCCCCCATTAAGAGAAGGGAGGGTTTCAGTGATTAATTTGTCTTAATGTTTGTTCTGATGACGGTATATCTCAACTGCATCAGATTCATTTTCCATGTTTTGGGCACTAGATTTCTAAATGATATGCTAATAGAATCTTTACTTTGAAAATTAGACCCCTCCAATTTCAAATTCTCAAAACCTTTTAAGTGAACAGTTTTTGGTTTCTCCTTAATTTCAGGTAGTTCATAAATGCTTGAGATCACCACCTATGTAGACCAAATAGAACATATGGTTCTAGGATGCTTGACTGGCATCTTAAGTTAATAAGTATGGAACATTTCTGTATAGGTTATTTTTTTCTTTAAAAATCATTTCATTAAGAATGTCATCCTCATCATCAGAACTGGATCAATTATCGTCTGACTTCAATTTTTTTAAATTTTCATTTAGTTCCCTTTGAAAACTGTTGGAGGAATTTCTAAAACCACCAAAAATAAAGTGTGTGGTGAAACAACATCAGAGATTGGTGGATGTTTGAAATAAGTCTCTGCGGGATGGATTTATGTTTGAAATAAGATGCCTAAGGGATGGATGGATGTTTGACACAAGGCATCACAGGGATTATTAAATGAAGTCTTTTGGTTTATTAAACATGATTCGATTGTAAGTCAAGGTTACAATTGTCTCTTATTTGAACAAAAATGGAAAGATTATTTACAATATGAATTACAATATCTATGTCCTTATCTAGATTGAAACATATGTAAGATATTTTGGTTACAATATCTATGTCCTTAGTTAGATTGAATCATATGTAAGATATTTAGGTTACAATATCTATGTCTTTAGTTAGATTGAATAATATGTAAGATATTTAGGTTACATA